TGTTGCTTCATTTTATTTGATTTTTTTTTCAGCTTATTGTATTGTGATATGTATGTTTCCTTCATGGTTAAACAAAATGGACTACCTTTCAATTTAATTCCCACCATCCTATACTTGGCTGCTTCTATTGGAGTCTAATTTGTTTTAGCTTATGATGAGATATATTATCTCCTTTTCCATCTAAATAGATTCACTTAGCCAATTCCATAATCCTACCCTCTACGTGAATAAAAACCTGTTTGGTTTCAATATGTTAACTTTTGAGACATGATTGAAAGGGATAGATTTGATTTCATCTGTCTCAGATAATTACCTACTGGCTTTTATGCATGGATTTTATTCAGTATTAAAGTGGATAATTTCCCAACACCAAGATCTTCATTTTTTTTCTCAGATCGACAGGTTCAGAAAATTGATCCTTTACTTGATTGGCTAAAATCAGAATTTGGCTTTCAGCCTGTTGTATACTCCAGCTTTTTTGGTGGGAAGCAGGAGGATGGTCTCATAAACGCTGTGGAGAACCTTCTAAAGAAGACAGATGACTGTGAGTTGGCAGCAATTGATGCAATTGCAGCAGCTGCACACTCTCTTGTTATTGCTCTAGGAATTTTTCGGGGAAGATTGCAGATTGATGAAGCTATTGAATTAATTAGAATTGAGGAAGATCTTCAGGTTAGTTTTCTGTTTCTCTAGCATTATACTCAAATGTTCAACATAACAGGGGGCTTTATTTTAACGATTCTCCTATATCCATGCAGGTGGATAGATGGGGTTTGGTGGAAGGTGGGCATGACCTTGATGTTGCTGATCTCAAGGTACAAATCTCATCAGCTACCGTCTTCCTAGGACTTTCCAGGAGGATTTAATTTCTGCATGTCATGATTTTATGTTTTTCTCTAGTTGATGCTGTTACTCAAGTTTTCCTCTCTTAATCATTTTTACTTCTGTATGTTTTAATGAAATGAATAAAAATTTTGTGAGAATTGATGAGGTTGATGAAATAATGAAAGTGAGCTACAAATGCCTTCTCTGGCACTGGGTTTCTTATACGCAGGTAAATTCATAGAATGCATCAAACTTGTTCTGGAAAAAGAAAGGAGAGATCAACCTGATATTTGGATTTTTTTCTTTCTACATAAATATCAAATTGTCCTTCCTTTCAATAATAGAGTAAGATGGCGTTTCCATGAACTTGCATTTTTTTTCTTCCGTAGAAGTTGTTTCCATGTCTGTGACTGAGAATCCCTATTCCCTGCATTTTAGGTCTCTTCTTGACAGCATTGCACGCATGTTGGCGGCTGTCTTTCTATATCACAGTTGCAACATGCTGTATCACATTCGTTGTTGCATCCTATAGAATAACGGAAAGACATGTTAATATTCCTTCTCAAAGATGAAAATTTTTCTCTTTCCATTTCTTCTGCACCAATCAATCTGACTTAGGAGGAAAGAAGCTAAAAGGATTGAAGGGATTTACTGGAAATTTGATCTTTGATGAGATGCTATTGCAGTTTTAGTTACATTACCTGTTACAGTAACATATTGAGTTGACTGAAAATCTTGAAAGTTCAGAGACACTGAAAGGCGAGTGCTTGCGTGAACAACATTAACGCCAATGCTGACAACGATCAGGAAAATGGAAAACCAGGCTAACATAAACAACTTCATCATTATAGGGATGCCAAACTATGTTGGTGATATAAGATTAGATGTTCGTTAGGTGAATTAGCTCCACACTCAGAGTATACATATACAAGAAACGATGGACCTAACTCATTATGATATGCCTCTGAATGTATCATTAATTTGTTCATCTTAAAACCGTGTCAATTAAACTATACGTCTACTGGTTTAAGGTCTTTTCTCCTTTGAAGGTACACTAAAAAAAAAAAACAAAGGCTTCATATCAGATGTATGTAAATTTATGTTATGTCCTTTTCATTTTTGTTCTGTTCATGTGAATGGCATTGGTGTAGCTAGTGAAAAAATTGGAGAAATGGGATGGAAAGTCATCAAAAACCTACATTTACCATAAAAGTGAAGAACTTGAAGCATACCAAAAAACAAGAACCATAAGATTCTGACTGATTTATATCCCGTCTGAGAGTTAAATATGATAACGAGTTAGGGACAGTAAGATTCAACAACAATCGGCCATGTTAAAGTCATTTATGAACTTAATGCGATTGACCATTGAGATTTATTTGGAAAACAAAACCAAAGTACAATATGGAAGGAGAATACAATTATTGCACAGATTATTAACTCCAAGCAAATTGGTGACAAGTCCTTCCCCACCAAAAATTCCAGAATAACTGGTTAGGTGAAGAACATGATGCTTCATTCAAAGACCTAGAAACCTTAAACACCACCTGTCAGCTGAAGCTGCTTGATATGTGTGATTTGCTTTCCTGGGTTCAGCCCCTTTGGGCAAGCACGAGCGCAGTTCAATATGGTGTGACAACGGTATAGCTTAAACTCATGGTTTATTGCTTCCAGTCGCTCCTTGGTAAATTCATCACGGCTGTCGCTTATCCATCTGTTAGCAATTCAACACACAGTAAGCTTTCTCCATAAAAGATAATCCATGATCTGTACAGGCACTTCATAATCATCCTAAACTTCAGAATGCTCAGCAACTAACCATCAAAACTTAGATTAAACCTCATCAAACCTCAATACAGTTCAAGTATTCAAGTAACAGGCACAGCATTATCATTCCCAACTAGAGGTGCTCAGCAACTAATCATCCAACCTTGGATATATTCTCATCAAAATTCGAGGCTAGAACTCATAAATTATTAAATACAAGCATTTCTATCCTCATTTCTTGAGATAAAAATTTCCCTCATTCAACTTTGTGGCTCATGAATCAACATCTACTCAAACAAACCAAAATGGCTTGTTAATCCCACTAATTACATGACCCTAAACCCCAAACACAACTTGAAGAATTTGATTTCATGTATCCTAGTTATGAAACAAACTAAACCCAAATAATCACTGTTGATACTAAATTAATGAAATCACAGAAACCATGAACGACTATCCATACCAATCATAGGTCATAACTTCACAAGTATATCAGAAGGAAAAACGGCACATCTTTTCTTCTCCCTCACACCAAACAGACCATGAAAAAAAAAACTTTACTTGGCCAACTTTCAGTACTCAAAACCCTTAAATTAACAGGAGTTAATCAATCACAAAACCTCAAAAATAGGATAGAATTACAGCTACCACAAACAGCCAATATTAACATTAAACGAATAAATCTCACAACCCAGAAAAAGGAGAATTTTGATCATCAATTACCTGTTAGCATGCAGCAAAGCAGCAGGACCCAGATAAGACTCAGGATTCCACCAGTAGCTCGGGCAGGATGTACTGCAGCAAGCGCAGAGTATGCACTCGTACATTCCATCCAACTTGGCTCTATCTTTCTTGCTCTGAAGAATCTCCTTCCCAGCTGTCTCTGGCGGATTCTTTCTCTTGAGCCAAGGCTCGATGCTCTTATACTGGTTATAAAAGTTGGTCATGTCCACCACAAGATCCTTAATGACAAACATGTGGGGCAACGGCGTGATCGTCGACTCCGTTCCCGACGGGATCTTAGTGAGGCAGGCGAGGCCATTGCATCCGTCGATATTCATAGCACAGGACCCGCAAATTCCTTCCCGGCAAGATCTGCGGAAAGTCAGGGTCGGGTCAATCTCGTTCTTGATCTTGATGAGGGCATCGAGAACCATAGGACCGCATTCCTTGAGATCGATCTGGTAGTCCTGGAGCTGGGGCTTAGACGGATTGTCCGGGTTCCACCGGTAGATTTGGAACGTCTTGAGATTCTTGCTCCCGGATGCCGTGGGCTCCACCTTCTGCGCCTCGGCCTCACTGGCGTGGAGTCGAGCGAGGACTAGCCTCGCCGACGACGAGGAAGGAACCCTAGAGCCGGAAATCGCTCGCCGGATCAAACCAGTCGCCATTGTTTTGGGGAAAAGAAGGAAAGTGACGACTGACAACACAGAACAGAAAGGAAAGGAGACGATTTGGTTGGGGCTGTGTGAAATGACGAAAATGTACTTGCCTAGAAAGGGTAGTTAGTGGGGTCACGGAGGGGCTATTTGGGGAAATTGTTAAGCGCTGAAATGGGCTTTATCCGGTGCCGTTGATGTGTGAGGTTTTGATGATTGGCTGCACTGACGTGGCGAATTCTGTACCGTTGGACTTAAATGAAGGTGACGTGGGTTTGACATGGGCCAATCCTTCGTCGCTTTTGAATTCTTGTTATATACAAATAATTTTTTTATATCACTTTAAAATATTATTAAATAAAAGGTGATATTTAATATTATAAGTTCAAAATAAATAAAAATAATTGATAATTTAAATGATAAATAAAATTTTTTTAATATTTACCCTTGTGATATAAGTTAAATTTTATTTAATGTAATATTTATAATTAATTTTATATAGTTGGACTTAAATGAAGGTGACGTGGGTTTGACAT